AACGTAGTTTTGATGTATTAGAGGATTTTCGCTGTTTTCAAAGAAAAATTTTTTTTCCGTTACACTATTTTGACACAACAATGCCCAATGTGGTTGACGACAGTTTGGTGACAGTCGGGCAAACCAACGGACGCGAAAAGATGGGTGGACAGATGGGTGATGGGTGGATGAATGAAAATAACGGCAAAGATGTCGATGAGCAGACATTGGGGCTTCAGTAAATGTCGGCTGTAATCAAGTCCAACCGGCTGGCGGGTTCCAGCCGTATTTGGTTATTGTTTCATTGGTTTTCTTGATAAATTCACGTTGACAGTCGATACGAGTTTTTCCTGAAAATTTTACATTTCTTTCAAGATCTTTGCTCTCTTCTTATCTATCAGCAACAAAAATAGAAGCAAAGATTACATTTGTTTAAGGTCACCAGAAATGAAGATAACTTTAACATATTTAAATAACCAGCAAAATCAAATGTAAAAAATGACAAGAAACTCAGCTGAAAATAATTTCTACCCTGCCCATTATAACAGTCCAACATAGTATCGTGCCGAATAATGGAATACTCATAGTGAGACTACAAAGTGTGCTATCGTTATAGAAAAAATCTTTTGAAATCCTTGTTAAGCTTAATAAAACTTAGGAAAAACGTGTGACGTTAAAGATGAACAAACATGCATTCTACCAGCAGTGGTGAATTAGTTCTAAGCGGAAATATTTAGTTTAGCTGCTAGAGTAAAAATCTAAGTAATTTATCCTTTTCTGAACATTTCTTAACTTGGTTTACAACCATTTTCTGGCAAATACCTACAGATATTGAACAATTGTTAGAGAAAACTATGCAAATTCAGCTGTTTGGTGACTCTCAAGTAATCTGCAAAAAGCTGCCAACACTCTCCTCTTCTCTAGTTAGACCAAACAATTCTTTTAGTTGCTTTTATCTACCGAATAATGTCGCAGATGAACAATGACGTTAACTGATCAATCAAAAATTTTCTTAAAGTTAGCAAAAAATACTAGAAAAGACAAAATGAATACTTTTTAGCAAACAATTCATTTGCAAACGGTGAAACAGCGCGCAAAAAAAGTTTCTTACAGTGTAGTAGCGGTATTAAAAATTCAAGTGAATAGGACAGAAAAAAAGCAAACTAATTTCACTTCAAACATCTACGTTCCCTGCAATAACGATTTCTCCGCACATTTAGCTACTAAAATACAAAAATTTTTTTTTTTCGTCGTAATGATGCTTCTTAAACAAATCCTTTGTAGCTGTTGACTGAAAACGACGAAACGTTAAAGTAATAATGAACGAAATACCTTTCAGTTTTTTCCATTGTTCAGCAAAACTCAGCCTGTCATTACCGTCTGAAATTTTTTATAGCAATGTAATTGCAAATAAAATATATTGTGCTTGATTTTACAATCTGAAATCTCAACATCTGAAATTTTTTATAACAGTGTGACTGGAATTAAAACATTTTGTGTTGAATTTTACAACAAAGGCTTAATCAAAAGAAAAACTGCTTAGAGAGCACAACGAATCAGATCAGAATAATGGTCACGATAAATGGCAGCTCTACTGTCAGCTTTTCCAAAAGCAGTTTCATTTCTCACTTACGAATAACATTAAATAAATTGAATTTAACAGACCAAATATCTTCCTTGCTGCTTCCCATCTTAGAAAATAAATATGAGATAATCTATACCATAATCACCAAAAGTTATCTGCATGTACAAAGCGTTGAACTTCTCGATGTCTTCTTCAGGTACTTCATAATTACCGTGAACGCCCTTATATCCGGCTCGACTCATCTTATCAACTGCATTTGCGAAATCCTGGATAAAAAGCGGCAGTAGTTCTGCTATTAAGAAATTAGTCAATAGCCGCCGACTGCAGATCGTAGCAAACTGGGTTTAGAAAAGCTTCACTATCATAACTGGAAGGCTCAAACTGTAGAGACTTCAGAAAGTAAATCGATTTTATGTCAGTGTCTTTTCAGCTTTGAAAACCATTTTTAGAAAGCAGCACCACATCTGCTCCACTACTATATTGCATTACGATTCAAAAAAGCAGGAAACCTTATCCCTCCATAAATCCCGGTCTTCTTGATGACGTCGGTCCCAATAAGCTTGAAATTGTTTTGCTTCTTCTTCAGCTTCTTTTTTTTCCCGTTCGTAACGCAGCCACCTAAGATGGAACTTTTTATTAAACGAGGATTAACTTTGTGCTTCAATAAGTTTTAGTGGCAATTTAGTTAAAGGAATTAGGTAATTAGTGATACACAAATATGTAGACAATAAAAAATGCTTACTGTTGCCGGGCTTTGTTATGTTTGCCGTCTCGCCTCATCAACAGCTTTCTTATCTGTTCCATCATTTCACGTTCCACTTCCTCATCATTTTCTTCAGGTTCCGACCCTGACCTTGAATCGGAGTTAATATCAAAAGTGTAGCTGTCGTTACCATCCTCGTCTTTCTTTAACTGCATTTTTGCTTTTATGCCTTCGATCAACTGTTCTGTAATTTCAGCTTCTTCCTCATCATCTGTTTCTGTATCTGAATCTGAAGACGACGATGAATCTACAGACTTCTTTTTTTTTGGCTTATTTTCCGACTCCTCATCTGTTTCACTTTCACTGTTTTCAGACTGTAATGTGGCTATTTTTTTTTGAACATTTGGGAACTCATTATTTGGTAGTTCAAACTCCTCAACTTCCTTTTCGTAGTCAATAAAATCCTTGTCTGAATCTGAAGATGAAGCTGCAAAATCGTTTTTCAAGTCACCTCCATTAAACGATTGTCGCTCGTCCTCAGAAGGAACGTCAGATTTGCTTTCATCAGAAGACATTCCCTAAAAAACCAGCAAATTGTATCTCAAATGATACGATTTCTAAAAAAACTTCGCAAAATTTAAATTATTGCATAAAGTTAATACATATTACTCCAAAAGATTTAAGAATATATCAGCGGAAGAAACTAAGAAGTAAAACTGTTTCCATTCAAAAATGCACTACAAAAATAACACTGGTTAATGTTAGACGAAAGAAGAAAGGCACAATTGCACAAAATTTTCACACTGTATATCCACGCACAACCTGATTATTCAAAAATTAGCATAACCGAACATAAATTTATAAATTTTAGGCAATTAAACAGTTCCAAATTCTCAGTCTTTAGTGCCACTGCTTTAATGGCAATGGCTACTTGAAAAAGATCTACAAATGTGACCACGTCGCATTCGATGTTTCTCAGCTATAAGACCTAAAAATTAAATGAAAGCGATAAAAATAAAGAAAGTATTCACATAGAGTAGTATTATATTGTAATATAACATTGTGAACCGAAGATGTAGC